GAAGTGCGGAGTCTTAACCGCTGGACCGCCAGGGAAGTCCCTCCCATGTTTCTAACATATAAAAATATTCCTGTGATAATTCCTCTTTTCATGGTGAATCTAATGTGATCTTACAGGAAACTTTAGGCTTTCTTCAATCTCCAAGTAAGATGAAGGTGATATTATACGTTAAAGAAGTTTTGTGGAAATATTTATTTTGACTGTACGAAGTTTGTTGGGGATGAAGAGGTCGAAAAGGAGGGAGAAATTCATCACATGTATTCTGGAGAGAGTCCATGGATCTTCCTTTCACTGTCCTTCATGCCTGTCAACTCTCTATTTGCAAATGAAATAATGATGCCATTATTTACCCTGTTGCTGCATTTCTTGCTTATAATAGTATTTGCCATTTTTTCATCCTTATCTTTCTTGACCTCTCTGTGGCCCGCAGCATTGCTACTTATGCTTCTGACAACTCCCCTCTCTTCTTGGAATTCCTTTGGGCTTGTAACTCCTGAATTCTAAGTCCCCCTAGACTTGCTCTGAGCTCCAATCCCTCAGCTCTAACTTCCTACAAAACACTCCCCCCCTGGAAAGTTAGCATCCTCAAAACTCAAGTCGCCATTTCCGCCCATCTCCTCACCTTGAACCTGTGCCTGCCCCAGGGGTCCACTTTCAAGGTCCAGCACCCAGTGGTTGAAACCTGGCATCTCCCACTCTCCCATGCCCCACATAGTTGGTCACCTGGTCACCTCAACAGTACCTCTCACATCATCTCTTCCGAGCCTGCCCCTTGCTCTAATCACTGCCTTATTTTGAGCTTTCATCATTTCTCACCCAGATTTCTGCACGAGCCAGACTCCTAGGTGTCCCAGCCTCTAGGTGTGCTCCCCTCGTCTTCCAAGTCAGCCTCCCCACTGTCGTGAGTCCGTTACGCCCTTGTCTAAAGTCACTGTTTAAAATTCCAGCTTATTAGGGCATTCAGTGGCCCTCACGTGTGACACCTGCTTGCTGTTCCTGTCTCATTCCCCTCCAAGTGACTACACGTGCTCCCAAACATGGGAAGACATGCCCCACGCACTCTCAGCCAGCCTGTCTCCACATTTGCACGTTCCCTCTGTCAGGAGCTCCCCTTTCTCTTATTTGCCTGGTTAATTCCGACAGCTCAAATGTCACTTCTCCAGGGAGCCTTCCCTCACCTGACCCAGCCTATCCCCTCCACTGTTCCCCAAACCACCAGGGGCCAATCTGAGCGTCCACACAACCTGGACTTTTTCTCCTAAAACTCACTCCACTGTAGTACTGCTGCTTATCGACACTTCCTCCCCTCCCCAACTCTGCTTGAGGGGGTGGGAACTGTACTGAGTTCATCTCCTCAGCCCCAAGGCCCAGCGTGCAGACTCAGAGCTCAGCACACACTTGCTGCGTGAAAGAAGAGAATCACAGGGGGAAAGGGGGGACCCACCTTACTTGTCTCCTGCGGATGTTTTCTTGCCCTGGGCCCTATACTGTCACTGCCCTTTCCTCAGTGTCACCACATCTGAGTTAAGGGATGTCTTTAGATGGCAAAAATCACCGGCCTCTTCTAAGCAGTATATCCAGTGACCTCTGCTAGCAAACTGTTCTGTCAGCGTAGCAGCCAAAGTCCCGGTAACGGCCTTGAGGTCCTGACACTTCGTCTCACTCCTCTATAACCTTTCTGACAATGTCACCTGCAATCCAGGCTTTACTATGTCTGCTCCAGACGCATGGGCTTCCTGGCAGATTCTTTGAGAAACTGCAAGCCTGTTCCTGCCTCAGGGTTCTTACAGTTGCCTAGGATGTCAGAATGTTCTTCCTCCCAACAGCTGCCCTTTCGGGTCTTTGCCCCCGTGTTACAGTCTGACACCTCCTTTAACCGCCCTGTGCCTCACGCTTCCTATTATTACTGCTTCCCTACTTTGTTCCTCTCCGTAGTGTTTATCTGCCATGCTACATATTTTAATTGTTTGTCGCCGTCAAAGAATGCAAGCTCCCTGTCGGGAGGGATTGTTGCGTTTTATTTCCTGCTGAATCCTCAGCAACCAGTGCCTGGAACACAGCTCGCACTCAGTGAGTCACCTGGCACACTAGATTATGCTTTTCAAGCTTTCAGAAAGCAGCACAAACAACAACAACGAAACAGACAACCTAATTTTAAAATGGGCAAAGGACCTGAACAGACATTTCTTTAAAGAAGATATATCTGGCCAATAAGAAGCACATGAAAAGATGTTCAACATCGCTAATCATGGGAAATACATACCTACAGTGAGGTACCACTTCATACTCATGAGGGCGGCTATTATTTTAGAAAAACAGAAATTAACAAGTGTTGGCAAAAATGTGCAGAAATTGGAACCCTTGTGTACTGCTGGCGGGAATGTAAAATGGTGCAGCTGCTGTGCAAGACAGCATGGTGGTTCCTCAAAATATTGAACAGAATTACCATATCACCCAACAATTCCACTCTGGGTGTATATTCAAAAGAATCGAAAGCAGGGACTCAAACAGGTATTCAAACACCCATGTTCATAGTGGTAATATTCACAATAGACAATGAAAGCAAGTGTCCATCGATGGATGAATGGATAAACAAATGGTATGTATGCACACAACAGAATACTATTCAGCCTTAAAAAGGAATGAGATTATGACGCATTCTACAACATGGATAATCTTTGAAGACATTATGATAAGTTATATATGCCAACTACAAAAAGACAAATATTATATGATTCCACTTATAGGAGGCCCCTAGAGTAGTCAAATTCACTGGGACAGGAAATAGAATGGTAGTTGCTGGGAACGGGGGGCGGGGAGGGGAAGTGGGAGAGAAGGAAGTGGTAGTTAGTGTTTAACGGGTACAGAGTTGCAGTTTGGGAAGATGAAAAAGTTCAGCAGATGTATGATACTGATGGTTGCACAACAATATGAACGTATTTGATGCCACTGCACTATACACCTAAAAATGGTTAAAATGGCAACTTTTATTTTATGTATAATTTCCCACAATTAAGAGGAAAAAGGCAGCACAGCTCTTGCCTTAAACTCTAATAAGTAGCCTAACATATAAGGCAGGTAGAAGTGAAGCTGCTGTGGCCAAAG